CCCTGGAGATAGTGAATGCACATTCTAATTTTTGCACATCTTTGCCAACTCTTGTTATTTACTGACTGGTTATTAGTAGCTATCCTAGATGGTGTGAGGCACCATCTTACTGTGGCTTTGCTTTGCATTTTCCTAATGATTATCGATGCTGAGCAACGTATGAAGTTACCGGCCACTAGTGTACCTTCATTAGAGATTAGGAGTCTTTTATATATTCTGGACATTAATCCCTTATCAGATATACAGCAAAACCTTGGATTGCAAGTCAACTTGTTCCATGAGTGTTCCACAAGATGAGCGAACACTTCTAACAAACTGTGACTTGATAATCAACAAGCAATGTCTTGCAATGTGAGCAGTATGTGACACTGAATGTCACATGATCACAATTGAGCCAATGGTTCCCTCTCACTGAGGAATTGTGGGTGATCATCTCCCAACAGTAAGAGGTTACAGAGATCTCATCTGCAGAGGAGGAGAAAAAGATGAAGGAATCCCTCACTTCAAATGAGATCAGAAAGATGTAGAAAAGCAGCACCCAAAAAAGGCTGTAACAGTGTGAGTGAGTAATCTGTTTAACAATGCAATGTCTCATTTCTGAATCCTCAAAAGGAGGCAAAAGCAAGCATCACTGGATGGGTTTCTTGTCAAAGCTGCATGAAAAGAAAAGGATTCTGGGCTGAGGATGTAGTTCAGTAGTGCTGTGTCTTCCTGGCAAGGGTGAGGACTTGAGTTCAATCCCCGATACCAACAGGGGAAATAACTTAAGAAAAAGATTCCATTGAACCAAAAGATAGCAGGATTCTGTTAGTGACAGAGAAAGTCGTCCTACACAGTACCCCTTCTCTCGCCGCCCTCACACAAACCAGGAAGGTTTTCAAAGGTAAATGCAGGCTAATTTATTTTTCTTGATAATTTGTATTTTCTTTATTATTTTGTATTACATTACCTGTTGTAATCATCTTATACGAATATTTTTGGGCTATGGAATGAATCATCTGAGTTTCCATTATTTCTCCTGGGGAGATTCTCTTTAACATACAAGTGCTTTGTATTACAAGCATGTTTCTGGAATGAACTATGCTACCAAATCAAGGTTTTACTGTATGATTTACAATTGTTTTCTCCCATTTTGTGGACTGGCTTTTCACTCTATTGACTGTGTTCTTGGATGCACAGAAGTTTTAAATGTTGATGTAGTCTAATTTATCTATTTTTTTCTTTTATTGCCTATGCTTTTGGGTCACAGCCAAGAAATCGCTACTACATGCAATGTTATGTTTACTCTGTTTTGTTCTAAGAGTATTACAGCTTTTAGTGTTAAGTTTAGGTCTTTGATTCACTTTAATTTTTTGTATACAGTAAAAATATGGGTACAGCTATGTTCTTCTGCTTGTGGCCAGAAGACTTCTTTTTAGAAATCAGAAGTGACTTTACTTTTATTTCCTTCACTTCAAGCCAACTGTGAAACTTCCCAGTGATGTCTTATGTATTCTGGGATGGTAGCAGAAGGGTGATATTTGGAATCACTGTGCCCAGCTGGACCAAGGAGGTGCAGGGAGGACAGGCCTCCCTGGGGTGGCAGGAGGAGACAGAGGCCCCGCCACCAGGCAGGTGACATCCCATAGCTCAAGAGCAGGGAATGCAGGGTCCTGGTGGCTTCTGGCCTGCACAGCTCAGTCAGGACACTGCCCACGGTAGCCAGCGAGTTGGTGCTCAACTTGGCTGCCCTCGAGGTGCCCTCATGGAGATGATGGCTGTCGTCTTCTGTGGCTCACCTTTCTGTAACTACAATTTGGCCCTCTCTGCTTCTAGCTGATCTGGTTTGCCTTCCGTGCCTCGGTGAACTCCTTCTCAAAGGTCAGCTGTGTCAAGGACACATCATCCAGGATGTGCCAAAAGCTGATGGTGACAGGGAAAACTTTAATAGCAAAAAACCTAGGAAATGTCACAATGTAAGATAATTTCTGCACTTTGCTCTGTTTAGTTCAGAATTAACTGGCACCAGAGGCATCTAGTCTCCCTAAAAAGTTCTGTAAATGAAAAGAACCATTGTTAGCTTTGTTGACCAAACATGCTCCCTTACTCTTGGCTAGGATAGATAACTCTCTTAAAGGTAACCTCCCCTAACAAAGAACTGCTACCAGGTTGAAATACATCTGCCTCACTACCATGTTTTCATTATCAGCAATGTGAACTGTGAAAATGCAATGTAACCAACTGAATGAGATCAAGGCTGTAAAACCCTAAAAAAGAAGGAGTCGTAACCCAGTGGGGATCAATCAGGGCACCGTCCTTAGGTGTCATGGATCCCCATCAATGGAGTAAACTTTTTTTACTTCACTTCCATTCTGCTGCCTCTCTGTGTCACTTGCCAATTCCTTCCGTAACAATGGTAGCTCGGGAAGGCCATTGCTCACTGGTGAGCAGTTCTCCAGCACTGAATCAAGCCACCACTGAGTGATGATACTCCAGGGGCAGATGGTGGCCCAGACTCACCACGGCCCTCCCTGGTGCTGATAAAGACTGAGGAAGCTGTTACCCATGTGCTAGAAGGACATATGTACTTGAGAGCAGCAGTCAAAAATAACTGGTTTCTGTACCCAAGGGATGAAGAAGAGTCTCTGCACTCCCACAGTGTTGAAGACCACAGTTCTGTGGCCGCACCCGTACTCGACAAGGCCGAGTAACCACCCCTCCTGAGATGCTGAAGCCTGGCCACGCTTGCATGTCTCCTCCTGCTGGACTCCCTTACCCGCTTCCCCCTGGCCCCATCGTCAACTCCCTATTGTTTTCCAGGTGCACCCTACTGTTTATTTTTTATAGAAAATTATTTCACATTTGTAAGGAAATGCAAAAGACAAGAGTAAAGTTAGATACCTAATGCTAACTATAAGAATCACAATTTAAAAAAAAAAGAGTAATCAAAAAAGTCTGTAAAGGTCAACAGGAGAAAAGAGTCTAGACAAGCCAACGCAACCAGGAGCACCGATTATGATGGGAGAAAGGCCTGTTTTTTCACCAATGGTTGTATCAACTAGATATCCATTCATAAGCATGAAATTGTGACCTCCCAAATACTTCTGTTGAAGCCCTAATTCCCGATTTGAAGGCATCTGAGTCAGGCCTTTGGGAGTGGACCAGATTCAGATGATGGCATTATGGTGGACCCTCATGGTGGGCTCAGTCCCTGAACCTGCTCTGCATGTGACAACACAGGAAGTGGCCATCTGCAGGCACGAAAGAGGGACTGGGCAGGAAGGAAGCCCCACCAGCCCCTGGTCATGGACTTCCCAGCCTCTAGAACTGACAAACTGCTCTTGTTTAAGTCACCCGGTGCACGGTATTTTGTGATGGCAATGTGAGTCTAGTGAGACAACTTGGACATGCACCAAACTTAACTAAGAAATAAAAACAGATCAAAAAGAAAAACCTAGAACAGAATTTTAAGGGGGAAAGACATTATGAACTTAATTAGCCAAAGGTTTCTTAGATTCAATACCAAAAGCACAACCCATAAAAGGAATACTGGTAAGTTGAATTTCATCAAAAATTAAAACTTCTCTTTGAAAGACATTAATAAAGGAGCAAAATGACAAGCCACAGATGCAGAAAAATATTTTCAAAGTCTATATCTGATAAAGGACTTGTATCCATAACACATAAATACTAAAAATTCAAAAATAAGAATACAAACAAAATAATGGGCAAAGGGCTTTGAATAGACACTTTACCAAGGAAGACATTAAGTAGCAAAATAGCCCATACAAGCCCATTCATTAATCAATAGGGAAGTGAACATTAAAGCCACAGTGAGGTACTACTACACACCCACTACAAACTTCTTTCTTTGTAAGTTTTCATATTACTCAGACTTCTTCCTAAAATAGGCAAGTATCATTCTTACAAATAGTTACTTTTAAGTTGTTTTAAATGTATTTAGCTGTATAACTAATAAAGGGAAATTTGTTTCTTTTCATTAAAAACATCAAAATAAAAATTTTTTCTGTAGATATAAAACCTAATCACCAGGGAGTGATTCTAAGCCCACACTGGGTCACTGGCTTTTTGGTGTCCCATGAAAATCATCCTCAGCAAAGTGCAGTGCTGACTTGGCCCCAGCCACCTAGAGATAGACACATGCAGCTCCTGCTAGCTCAGAACTACCTGGGAATGCAGGAAGCAACACTGCATCTCGCCTGCACAGGTGCAGTCCTTGGGGAGGCCAAGGCTGGCCATAGGATCTGCTGTGGGTGCACTCAGGAGTGCACCTGGGGCACATCACCAAGGCACAGCACATAGCCCCGGGGCAGGAAGGCCTGTGCTTGGCCACAACCTGTATGAGAAGAGCTGTCACAAGGAAACGACAGCTTCTGCCTGCCCACTGGGGAGGTTGACACCCACAGAGGACAACCCAGATGATCACCAATCTGACAATACCCACAGATGCTCAAACCTGAGACAGCAGGTGCTGGTTGCCCCTACCTCTGGCCTCCAGCTGGCATGTCCATGGCCACCATGTGCCCGCCCTGTTGTCAATGCTGTGCATGTCCACTCTGCTCCTTACAACATGTCAGGGACACACTGTGGAGACTAAAAGCCTTCTGGGGTTCCAAGCATGCTTCAAACCCCACGCTAGCATCCTGAGGAAATGGGCATCACCTAAACTGCGAATCTCCATGGGGCTGAGGAAAGGCCCTCAGCACACTGCGTAGTCACTGACATCTGTATAGAGAAGACACAGACTGCATCCAACAGCACATCCTCAGGACAGAACAGGACATGGCCCAGGCACTAATAAGCAGCTTCTCCAATGAAGGCCAACAGCCATGCTGTCATGCACAGCCACCTGCATCAAGAGCAAACACTTGAGGGCCATCACCTGCACAGCCACCCGCATCAGGGACAAATAGCCACAGCCATCACTCACGCAGACGCTCACAATGAGGACAAATAGCCACCACAGTCAGCTGCTTGCACTGAGGCCACACAACCGTCACCTGTGTCAGGAGTTGGTCTGGCGCCAGCTGGTTGATCCAACGTGTGTATCGGGCAGTGGAGTCCGGGGGATCCCTTCTCACTTGGCACCCTATGATCTGTGAAAACAACAGACAAGGCTTAGGTGCCCTCGAGAGGTGTACCACGGCGTGTGTGTGTGTCTGAGGCCATGTGAAGAAGTACATGTGTGCAGACAGAGCCTAACTGAAATCTGTGGGCTCTGGGCTGAGGTGGGGAGGGGAGCCCCTGAGCCCATGCGTGGCTCAGCTCAGGAAGGCAGCATCTACGTCCGTCAGCTCCTGTGCCAGCTGATAGCTGCTCAGCGTGCCCCTTTCCTAAACAACAGCCCCATCTCGGCACACACTCTGGCACGTCACTCCTCATCCTATGTCACCTAGGGTGGTACCACATGGGCTCCCCGGCTTCCTATCCCCTCCCACCCTCAATCCTAGCCCTGCTGCCCTGGCCCCAAACACAATACTCTCGATCTCTCCCTCACTTCTCACCTCGGCCTGCCCTGGCTGCCTGCACCCCATAATCCAGCAAACTGCCCATGGTCCCTGCGAAGTTCAGCATCTTTCAGACCAGGGACGTTAGAGGGATCCCACAGACCTTCAGAGGCCTGGTCAGAGCGGTCCCTGTGTGGACACCACGTCACCTCAGACACGAGCAGAGGATTCGAGCTGGAGGTGGGCCTCACTGCAGAGGAGCAGCCCAAGCTTCTCCATCTCTGGAACTGACTTCAGCTCTGATCAGGCCACTGGTCTGAAGCAAACTGCCTTCACCTTAAAGATGGAGGCCCTCCTCACAGGGCAGGTGGAAGTGGAGGGGATTCAGCACCCAGTCTGGAGCCCTCCTCACCAGATGGGTAATGGTTCCAAGAGGCTAGAAAGGATGGAGAAAAGATGGCTTTGCAGTCACAGAAGCCTCCTCTACCCTCACTGGGAAATGAAGCTCAGCCGGGTCATGAAGAAGGAAACTCAGCCAGCTTCTCACCTGTGCCCGGTGCCAGCAGCTCCTGTTGTGTGCTCCGGTACCCCAGGTCCCCTGGGACCCTGTGACAGTGGCCAATCACCGACACTATGGAAGGGGACACAGTGAAGGCTTACCATCACTCCCAAGGGTCCATCTGTCCAGAGGCCACCAGACAGGCCTGATGCATCACCTCTGCCCCACAGCAGGGCCCATGTTTGTGGGATGCTGGCCCCTGCCTCTCCCTGGCTGACCCTTGAACTCCCCGGTGGAGCATCCTACCCCAAAGCCCCTGCACACTCCATGCTTCTGTTCCCACAGGGAGGGTCCCTTCTGGCTACCCTTGGGGCCCCACAGAGCAAACAAAGACTCCCGATTCCATCCTGCCCCCTATCTCTGCCCTGAATGTTCAGGAAATGAGTAATAGGAATAAATGTTACACTTAGAGCGGCATAATGACACCCAGAATGTAAAACCCTAAAGGTTCTGCTGTGATGATTTAAACACAGCTGTGCAATTTCTAAAAGCTGTCATCAAGAGTCTTTGTTTCCTCATTAAAGTTTTCTTGAAAATGGCCTTAAAGAAAAAATGACCAAGTAGGAGCAGACAGCCAGCATTCATTTCATTCTTCCAGATAAACTACACACATAACTGACAAACCACCATCAGCAACTGCAGATTAGGGCTTTGCAGGTCACCATCTAAACCCAGCGCCACGGTAACACCCTTTCCACACTGGCCTTGTGTGGGTGCAGCCAAACCACTGCGACATTGTGAGGCACAAGGAGCAGAGAGACCAAAGATGCCCTACCCACTCTGGTTGGGAGAAAACGTGGCACTGGGTTCTCCATGCATGGTGGACACAGCATCCCGAGAATTAATGAGGTCAGCAAGAAGAGTCACAGCCTAGACCTTCATGTATAAAGACAGACATCAGGGCTGTCCGAATTAAGACCAAGAGGGCCAAGGATTTAGCTCAATGGTTCCACCACCTGCCTCATAAGCACAAGGACCCAAGTTCGATCCCTAGTACCACAAAACAAAACAAAACTAAGACACACTGACAGTTTGCATTTTTCTAAGTCCAAGAGCTTTCCTAAACATCAGTGTGCATTTGGACAGGTGCCATGGGTAACCGATATGCTCTATGTCAGGGGAAAATGGAAACACCACTTTCTAAACGCCAACATTCCTGACAGGATTCATCATAAGTATGACACACTGTAACATTCAGAAGCTACCTGCATCCATATAAAGGTCTCTGTGAATGACAGACGTGGTGTCTCATATACATACAGTCACTGACCCAGTTAGTCACATAGATAGGCCTGGCCTGACACATCCTTCTTTAATCTCTCAGGCTGGCATGACTGTCAGGCCACACAAACGGCCAGGGACCAAGTGACAGGCAAGCATGGCCATCAGGACAGGCCAGAACATGGAGGTCTGCTTCTGGGGTTTTCTGGCAGTAAGCAGGTATGTCTGATACTGTGCTGTTCCTTCCTGTGAGCTCCACATGCAATGTTACCATACCCATCAGAGCCACAGCAAGGAGCTTCTGGAAATCCCAGATTCTGCCTTTCCGTCATATAAACTGACACAAAACCGTCCAACAGGACTTGTTTCCATTTCTTCCCCTTTCCAAAAAAGGGCCCAAACCCCCCGCCTCCAAAAAGAAAAAAAAAGTTTGTACATCTCATCTCTCTTCTTGCAAGACTGAGAAACCTCTGGAGCTGGGGCAGAAATGCCTGAGTCATCAGCGATGCCATGTGGGCCAGCCCCAGGGCCAGGGGACATCACCACCTTGCATGGATGGTGTCCCGTGGCCCCACGGTGGCATCTGCTATTGCAACACTGTGGGGTATTTTCTGACATCTTTCCCAACCAGAAACGGGGAAGGAATGAGATACTCTATGCCCATAAACTTTACAAAAGCAACTTCTGGAGTCTGTGGTTGCTGACTGCTATGAACACATGTATTCACACATATTTGTGGTTCTAAATTCGGTGGGCACACGAGCCTTTCCAGAATCTTCTGAAATCTGCAGCACTCTTCTACCCTCCCTGAAAGGGTGAAGCCCCCCACCCCGCCATCCTGGAGCCTCTCCCCCAACCTCTCCAACCATGACAGGGGCAGCTACGTGGACACCCACCCCCATGCTCCTCAAAACTGGCCTCCATTCTCCGTACTTCCTGTCTGCTTTCAAAATCCCTGCACATACCACTGCCTACAGAACATCCAGGCTGCTGTGCCCGAGCCGGCTCACACTTCTGCCCTGCAACCCTGTTCTTGGGTGGTTGAGGCCTTCCACAGCAAAGCTGAGTGACTACCTGTGTGCTGAAGGAAGTGGCCAAAAGGTCATAGGCAGCGGCAAGGACTGGAAAGAGCAGGGCAAGGCAGGAGGCCTGAGGGGCCGAGCACTGAGCTGGACACATCCCCCTTGGGTAGCACCACCCTGAGAGCCACAGAGCAGCTGCAGGGCTGCGCACATGGCTACCCCAGCTGGAGTGTCCCCAGGTGCAGCCATCCTCTCTTTGCACAGCATGTTCTAAGGATGTTTGTTTCAGTAACATTTCAAAAGTATATGCAATTCCAACTCAAGGGATACGGGTCTTCAGCATCCAGCCAGGCCTGATGGTGCACGCATATAATCCCAGCACTCTGGGGAGACTGAGGTAGGAGGACTCCAAGTTCAAGGCCAGCCTAAGCCACTTAGTAATTGAGCAACACTCTTTCCCAGAAATAAAAAATAAAGGGCTGAGGATATAGCTCAGTGAGAGGGCCCTTAATTCAATGCTCTACAGCACACATACCAAAAGCAAAAAGACATCCCACATAGCCCAGAGAACCCCCTGACAACTTAGGGTCAGCAGCTGCAGAGAAAGGACACACTGCAGTGTCCATTCACATCTCCCTTCAGGGGATTCCCGTGAGGGGGTTCTACGATAAAGCTATTCCTCCTCCACACTGGTGTGTGAGAACAGAGGCCGAGATGGCCTCCCAGGGGTCAGGGCTGTCAGGCAACCCTGAAGCCTGAAGATGAGCGGGAAGGCATAGCTCTGAGTGAGGAGCACCTCAGCTCTCAGCTCTCTTCATGTTGAGAACCTGGCTTCTATTTAACCAGCCCCTTCACATCCACTTTAAAGTGACAGGTGCTGTCCAAAATGAGAAGGAAGCTCTTCCTCGAGGAAGAACTCTCTGCTTAGAGAGCTGCCGTCAAAATCCCTCTCTGTACATTCTTTTTACCCCAAGGAAACCCCACTTCAAGAGCCGCAATGCCACTTCAGCCAATTGGTGTGGTGCTTACACTGGTTGGGTGCTGCTGGGCGGCCTGGTGCTGCAGCCTCACTCTCTGCGGCATCATCACATCGTCCTGCAGAAAAAGCACATTTTAAACTCACATAAAGCAACTCCTACTGGCAGGGAAGAGGTGGGCAGCCCTGTAACAGAGCAGTGTGGGAGGCCAGATAGAAGACTGAGGCCTAACTGGCCTCCTCAGAGCACGAGGAGAAAAGGGGCACGCAAGCGTGCAGACACGCTGCAGGGAAAAGGAGAAACACCTGAGAGCCTGTTGTTTACCCCGACAAGTACCGCGGGGGGAGGGACACAGATGAATCCTGTGGAGCTCTGGCTGCTTGTGCCTGTGTCTGAGCGCATAAAGCCACGGTGCCAGGCACTTGGGGTTCTACGCTGAAGGAAGGCAAGAGCCTCAGGACTTGCAGAATTTAACCTGATTCTGTGTCTATTTTTCATTGTCATCACCTCTTGGTCAGGTTGAGGTCATAGGCTGGTTCCTACAGAGCATATCCTCTGGTCACCAGTTAAAGAACCTGTCCCACAATGGCCAGAAAACAATATTCTAACAATTCCTCTGTGACTGAGGAGGTGGGGTGACAAGGACACCCCTGCACACTGACAAGGAGACACCATTGCTCTGAAAGATGGCATGGCATCATCCAGAAAACCTGGGCTACACACAGTTTCACCCCTGTGTACACAAAGCCCTACCTAAAACAGACATGTCCAGGGATGTTCACAGAGCACTGCTGCAGCAGAGTACCCTGAGATTTTAAATCCAGACCCCAAACAAGTCACGCAATTTACTATGAGTCACACACACTACCACTTTCAATATCCACTCAGTGCTGAACTGAATTATGGCTGCTCAATGTCAACTCCACAGACTATGAAGAGGCAAGGCATAAGAACACATAGAGCATTCATTACTCATCTATTTACATTAAAAACCAAGCAAGATGAACTATATTATTTACTATTATTATTTTATTAGGTTTTTTATAGCATTAGAGACTGATCAGGGCCTTTATGCATTTGTTGTGGATGAGAAAAAGCCTCATTAAGCTGCCCAAGCTGGACTCAAACCAGCCATGCGCCTGCTTCAGCCTCCTGAGGAGATGGGATTACAGATACTAGTCCTGCCAGCTTCCCTACCATTCTGCGCACCTGGCTTTGATGGAATGGTGAAAAGGCCTTTTGCAGGCTTTGTTCTAGTATCAGTTGGGCACCTACATCTTGAAGAGGCGGGGCAAGGTTCTCCAGGAGGCGCTGACTGCTCTGAATCAGTGACCAGTGTAGGGTGGTGGCTGGCCCGTAACCAGGACTCCCAAGTCCAGGAATCAAAGGGTAGCAATGGGAACAACCCACTAGCAAAGGTTCTGCTTCCTTTTCCCGTGACTCTGCTCTGCTGGCCTAGAGGTCTTAGTTCAGAGAGGCAGTGCTTTCACCTGGAGATGCAACGGCCCTAATGGGCTGGAAGTTGCTGCTCCGGGCCCCTTAGGCCTCTGAGTGCATCAGCTAAGAGGGATTTAGGGTACCGGCAGGGAAACGAATCCAGACCACCAACAGAAAACAGAACTACTACTCCACAGTGGAGGTGAACAAGAGACAGTCTAGAGTTCAGGACATATTAGTGTTACCAAGCCCTGAGATTCAGAACAACAGGAAGTTAGAACGACCCAATCCTGGCAGGACTATAAATGGCCCAGAACTTTAGGAGTGAAGGTTTGGGTCACCTCACCAGGTGATGACCCCTGACTTGCTGAAATGCTTGCTGGAGGATAAAGGACATAGAATGGGCAGTAGAAGGAGGTGTTTATAAATACCAGCTCTGAGTACTCGACCACTAGAGAAACAAGGATCTTAATGTCACAAGCACTTCCTCCCCATTTCATTATGAATGCCTTGTGGTTATATGCATAGACAGCAAACAAAAGTCTTTTGGCTTCTTATCCTTTATCATGTCATATGAGACTGACTTTATGTCAGCTTTAAGTGTTAACTTCAGATCACAGTATTTATGTTATAGGACACTGAAGAGGAGCATCACTGAAGGACTTATTTCCACTTCAGCTGTAAGCAAGATAGCTACATCATGTGGAGTGGAGCTACACCTGTGGTACTGTCTTTATTTGGAGATTAAGTATGCTTTAAGGAGTTACAATGAGTGCCAAGTTGGTAGGAGGTGGACCTGTGATGGTTAATTTTGTCTGTTTGATGGTGCCCAGGTATCTGGATGGGGTGTTTCCAGAAGAGGTTAGCATTTGAACCAGTGGAGTGAGTAAAGGTCACCCTCCCAGTAAGGTGGGGCTTCATCCAATCCTTGAAGGGCTGAATAGAACCAAAGGGTAAAGTAAGACAGTCTTGCTCTCTCTGCCCAAGTTAAGACAGCCATCTACTGCTGCCCTCAGACAGTGGTACTCCTGGGACTTTGGACTTGGACTGGTACTGACACTATTAGTTCCCATGGTTCTCAAGCCTTTAGGTTTGTACTGGAACTTGCACTGTTAGCTTTCCTGAACTTCCATCTAACGGATAGCAGAACACAAGACCACCCAGCCTCCATATCATGAGGGTCAATCACTTACAATACATCACTCCATACATATCTGCATATCTCTTATTGGTTGTGCTTCTTTGGGGAGTCCTGACTGATACACAGAAGATTAACCAAACCTCCAATCTTACTGTTCAAGGATCTATGCAAAAAAAAGCTTAATCACTTGATATTCCCCAGGTCTCCAAAGGCTACAGAGCACTCAAATATGATTCCATCACTTCTACTATAATCACCTCCCCTAAGAAAGTCTAAACAAAGTTGGCAACTGCAAGACCAGAGGACAGAAAGGGGATTAACCCAATCACTGGCCACAGTGCCAAGAGCCTAAAGATGACGTGGTGAGCCAAACAATGAAGTCACAAAATGAGCACTGGAGCAGGTAGCAAACTCTTTAAGGAAGTATAAAGAATCTGTTGACTATAAATAAACTCTTGTTCTCATGAGGCCACTTTTAAAGGAAAAAAACTTGCTAAAGACTGGAGAACGAAAAGGTCTTTACTGCACATGAAAGTGAAGGGAGGATTTGACAAGCCCAGATGTGGGTCTGCCAGAAGGCCATGATCCCACTGTTTTCGAGGGTGGCTCTCCCTGCCCCAGCGCCCTTTCTTCTGTGCTGGGCAAGGTCCCCAGAGCTGAAAGCTGGCGCCCAATGCCAGGAGCAGGTACACAAGACAGCTGGCACTGGAAACCCCAAGTAGGACTGCCAAGCAGGAACTACAAAAGCAAAATGCATTTCTCTCATGTGTTTAGGCCACGGAGTAGCTCGAGATGGTCTCTCCTCATGACTTGAAGGGGATTCAGAACCTCATTACTGGCTTGCCCTAATGTGTGTAAAATTCCAAGATATGGCTGAAACGTCACAAGGAAGACTAGGAGAGAAAGCTCCTGGCAGCCAGGGAAGGAATATGATGCGTTATAAAATGAGCATTAACTTGAATGTAAGAATCCCTTTTTGACATTAAAAAAAAAAATCTGCAGGAAAAGCCAGGGCCAGTTGCACAAGTGAGAATTCAGAGACACCAGGAGCTTCTAATGAAGTAGCTGTGGGCAACAACCTGGAGAAGAGAGCTCAGGGGTCAAGCGCCACTCTTGACAGAGCTCCTACAGTGGGAAAAAAGCAAGTGAAAATAAACAGCAAAAGGGCAACCACAGATCTAACCATGCAAAAACTAACACTAATGTGAATAAATTCAGTACTTCCATCTATGGTCAACACTGTGCCTGGACTAAAGACAGCCAAAGAAACACCCACCTACATGTTACTTGAAGACCTGAAGGTTCCAACATGTGAACAGGGTGGATGGGACACCACCCACACAGCCCATGCAGGAAAGCTGAGGTAGCTACACTGTCAGAAAAACAAAGACATTTCACATGGAAAGAAGGGTCAGTCCATCAGAAAGACATTACAGTTGTAAATGTGCCTAACAACAGAGCAAAAGAACCATCAAAAAAAAAAAAAAAACAAACGTGAAAGAAAAATGGACAGAACTAGAGAAATAGATAATTCAACAATAAAAGTTGGAGACTTCACTACTTCACTATCAAAAATGGATAAAATGATAGCTGGGCATGGTGGCGCATGCCTGTGATCCCAGCACTCAGGAGGCTGAGGGGGAGAATCACAAGTTTGAGACCAGCCTGGACTACAGGATGAATTCGAGACCAGCCTGAACTACATAGTGAAATTCTGCCTCAAAACAAAACAAAACTAAACAAAAGGATAAAATGAGACTGAAAACCGGCAAAGACATAGGAGAGTGTACACTGCTAACAATGGACAGACAAGATCATTCCATGACATCTCCAGGACAGCTGCCCAGCACAGTGGAGCACGAGGCTTCTGATGCATGTGTGTGCATGTGCACACACACACATGCAACTTCAGAGAAAGAGATGCTGGGCCACAACAAGCACTGGTAAAGAGACGAGGACCATGGCCATACGGGTATATTCTCTGGCCACAACAAAAGCAAGTTACAAGTCCAAACGGTACTTAGGCAACCTACCATCAATATGTGGAAACAACACAGAAGTAACTACCAGGTTGAAGGAACTATAAAGGAATAAGAAAATATTGTGAACTGAATGAAAATGGCAACATGCACACCAAATAGGTTATGGCTACAGCAGTGCTTAAAAGAAAACTTTATAGCTATAAATCCCTACATTAAACCTACGAGCATAACACTGGGTTTCACAAACACATCCTTTACTTTTCTACTGCACGTTTTACTTTGGTATAATAGTAGCCAGCTATGCATTTCAGTGCCTTCCCCTGAGGGATATAGGAAGGAATTTTTGTGTTTACCCACTTGGACAATGGATGGCAAGGTACATGTGGATGTGCAAAAGTGTCAAAACAGGATTCACATCCACGATTCTCCATCTAACAGGTTTTGCATATGTTTACCTGAGCATCACAGTGGGTATAATATACCCACATGAGTCTAGGATTTTTTTAAGGTTTCTTATTTTTCAAAGAAGTAGCCAATTCAGTACAATGGCAATGAAAG